CCAGATATCTACGTCTGCATGATCTCCTCCGCGCACAACGTGGCGGTGCAGGGGAAGTACATCGCCATCGCCAGCACTACCGTGGAGACCGCGGACCCGGAGAAGGAAATCAAGCCGGCCTTGGACCTCTTGGAGCCCATTGAGCAGAAGTAAGCCCTCGGCGAGCTCCTTTTCGCGCGTCTCTTTGAGGCGCGAAGGCAGAGGGATCTGGGGCCGTGGGGAGGTGCCGAAACTGAATTTCCTCTGCACGGGGACCGCTTAGGCGCTTTGAGGCGCGAAGGCAGAGGGATCTGGGGCCGTGGGGAGGTGCCGAAACTGAATTTCCTCTGCACGGTGACCGCTTAGGTGCTGCGCAGGGCGATGCCCTTTACCTCAGCTTGCACCCATCCTGGTGCTCTGAAACCCTCCTGAAGCTCGTTTCCTCTCCCTCCTGCCAGGTTCGTCAGCATCAGCGACCTGTTCGCGCCGACCGACCTGGGAACCGAAAGCCAGGTGAGTGGGCGCCGAGCGGCTGCTCGAGGCGGGGGGCTCGGAGAGGGGCTCGGGGCTGAAACTGCTGCTTCTCCTCCCAGATCTTCATTTCTCGCACCTATGACGCCACCACCCACTTCGAGACGACGTGCGATGACATCAAAGATATTTATAAGAGGATGATGGGCTCAGAGTTCGACTTCGAAGAGATGAAACGCAAGAAGAACGATATCTACGGGGAGGAGGAGCAGCAGTAATGAGAAACCTCTAATTAGGAGAAACTTAAATCGGCTAATATGAATATCTAAGGAACTTAATGAACACTGTATGAAATTCAATATTGTAAGGCCTGCTTTTGTAATCCCATCTCTGAGAGATTGAAGAGTGCTGCACTGGTCATGTTCCCCTTTTGGATATCATGTGTTAATTATCTCATTCTAGCAGGGCTGCTGTCCAGAATCTGGCAAATTACTGACTGAGTTAATGACTAACTTCGTTAAGCGAAAGGCAGACTTGAACCTTTTTTGTTTTGGGGGCGGGGGGGGAAGGGGTGGTTTTTTTTTTTTTCCTTTGCAGACGTAGACATTGGTGCAGATTTGAAATAACTCATTGACAGCTGTGTCTTACCTTGTACTTTTAATCCATTCGTAAACATCCTTCACAATTATGTGCTTCTGGTGAGCTAGTAGATGTGACGGTTGTCACTCAGACCCGGTGCCGAGGCGAGTAGAAACTGAGCACTCCGTTATTGTGGACAGCATCCCTCCGGTCTCTTCCCATCGATCTTAACTCTGTGGCAAGTTGTATTACGGCCAAAGCCCACGTCTCTTGTAGCAGCAAATGTTGGCTTAGTTCTGGGCACGGAACTTAAACCTCCACTTCAGCTTCTGACACTGTTTACAGCGGTTGGGACACAGCTGTGCCTGAGGCTCCTTTGTGTTTTAATCTTAATAAAATTGAGAGAACAAATTGCAGAGCAGGCAAAGATGTGGAAGTATTTTCTGTACCCTGGTGACTTCTCGGATGGACCAAACGGCACTGCGGTATCGGTATGACAGAGCCTGTGCTTCTCCTGTCTCCTGAAGGCTCCAGATGATTTCTGTACTGCAAAGTAAAGCCAAATTCTGGAAACCAGTCCTGTGCTCTGGTCTGATTCACTTCAGGTGTACGAGCAGCATCTTCCTGAGATCCCTTGGATCTCTGCCTGCCAGGGCTGAAACGTGAGTGGGGCAGAGTGTTTCCTGCTCGAGAGTGGGCTCAGGCCTTCTCAGCCAGGCTTCCCTCTTGAGAACAGGCTCGGGCTTCCCGCTCGAGAACAGGCTCGGGCTTCCTTGGCCGGGCTTCCCGCTCAAGAACAGGCTCAGGCTTCCCACTCGAGAACAGGCTCGGGCCTCCTCGGCCGGGCTTCCCGCTCGAGAAGGGGCTTGGGCTTCCCTCTCAAGAACAGGCTTGGGCTTCCCACTCGAGAACGGGCTCGGGCCTCCTCGGCCAGGCTTCCTGCTCGAGAACAGGCTCGGGCCTCTTCGGCCAGGCCTCCCGCTCGAGAACGGGCTCGGGCCTTCTCGGCCGGGTTTCCCGCTC